AATTAGCATGGCGTATCCTAGTTGTAAAGGTCGGAACTGGTAGAACTAAAGAATAGAGCTCATCTGAAGATTTGCCATAGAAATAGTGATAGATTAGCAAGAGGATTGCAACGTTGCGTCCATGGTAAAGAATCTACAGAATGGAAAGCATGACTTCTCCCAAAAGACGACGTCAAGGATTTTGAATTTTATCAAGGCTGAAACGTGAGGATAAAACTCTAGTCCAGATATTTAGGAATTATCTAAATAGCAATGCCAGGCATCGTTGGATATTACCTGGAGCGATAGAATGAAGTAATCATATTCCCAGTATCATTAGCAACGGATCAAATATGTAAATTCAACCTGAGGTTTGGAGTGAATATGCAACTCAAAAAGACGTTCAAAGCATGAAGTCTCATTGAAAATGCAACCGTTCACCGTAACTAGCGGTGTAATGGATAGAGGCTCAGAATAGGAAATCGGAGATCCGTGTTCGAATTCCAGTCGAGTAAGTTACATTCACTTACGCGCAAATACACTTGTGAAGAATGAGAAATTGGAGACCAGAGTTCGAATTCCAGTCGAGCTCGTTACATTAAATTACACACAAATACCCTTTCTTAAGGTATGACTCCATCTGTTCTCCCTCCAGCTAAAGGTTAAATAGTAGGACGTTTATATGAAATTATTACTGATATCGCAAAAAAAAAAAAAATATTAATGCAATATCCCCTGTCAAAAAATATTACTTAAAATTAGAAAAAAAAAGTGTTGATAAGCCGTAAAATACAATCAATCATCGTGACTGGAGAAAACTCAGGTTGATGACAAAACAAATCTAGCTTGTTTTTTTGAGGTACTGAAAGTTATTTAAGTGCCTGGGCTGAGATAGACGCTATGCAATCAGATTAATTGATGTTTTTACAGCTTATCAACCTTTTCCATATTATCTAAAGCCAGAAAACATTTTTAGATTCTAAGAATTCTTCTTATTTAGATAATAACGAATTTTATCGTTTGAGATCAGATAGAGAAAGGGATTAGTTGCAAGACTCCGATCAACTTGATTTTTTGTGGAGGCGTACATCCATACATCGTGGTATCACTAGCATAAACGTTTAGTAATGATCTGTGAAAGGGGTGTGCGTGTGGTGAAAATTGATTGCGGAGCAGAATGTGAAATTGGAGTCCAGAGTTCGAATTTCAGCCGAGTTCGTTAGATTAACTTACACGTAACTACACTTGGTTAAGGTATGAATCCATCTCTTCTCTACCTCCCAAGCTATAGGTTACTGAAAATTCTCGAGATGGGGACTCATCTCCCATTAAGCCCGGGCCAACCGTGGGTATGCATCGACCGATGAATACGAGAAAATAACCGAAGTTCTTTCGTCGTGAGAGTTGCGCATGCGCCGTCGCAGGCGGAGAAAGCGTTTAATTTAATGATTTGAGAAATAGTACTTGCAGTTATCTGATATTTAGACTTACGGCCACATCCCGTTGCAACACCGGTCCCCGTACAATCACGAAAGTTAAGCAACGTCGACCCTGGTCAGTGCCGTTTAGGAATACCAGGTACTGAAAGCTTGGATATGTGGATGGTGTAATGGATAATGGCTTGGAATTGTTAATCGGAGAGCAGAGTTCCAATTTCAGTTGGGGACGTTATATTTACTTACGCGTAAATGCCTTTGGGTAAGGTAGAAATCCAACTCTTCCCCAACTATGGGTTAATTAGTAAGACAAGTCTTACGGAACCATTTTCATATCTAAAAATTATTTGTTATTATATCGCTAAAAATATTTTAATTAAAAAAAAATGATGTAATTAAAAAAAAAGAAGAGATTATAATCTAAAATATTTTCTAGCTTTAAATAGCCTGCAATGGTTTGATAAGCCGTCAAAAACAAATAATTCAATCAATCAATTATCCGAAGTTGCTAGCATTTTTATTAAGTAGATTTTGATAGTTTGATTATGGGCACGATTAATTAAGTTTGTTAATCAAATAAATCAATAATCGTCCGCTTATTGTGTCAGATCTAAGGATGTTGCCAATTTAGTACTTATTAAGAGGAACGTTTCTTAAGTGTTGCTGTGTTTGTTCTGAGTAAATGATCAATAACAAATTTATTGCCTTGTCCGTAGCCTAAAACTAAAGATTCGTATCTTGCTTTAAATCTGGCCTTGTTTGATGGCAACATAGGAACTAATTTCAGTTTCCGGATCAGTTGAGCAAGAAACTCACAGCTTTAAGTGGTCACAGCCGAGGCTCACATCTATTGATTGCTATTCTATGAATCATAAAATCTGAGATCAACGTATTGATCTCGTTCGACTGGAAATGATCTCATATACACGAAGTGATAGCACACACATTACGAACAGACATACACACAGTTACAGAGTCATGCTTCTTCGAGTAAGGCGCTTGTATCTTCTGAATCATTTGACAGTCGGGAGCGAATTTAAATATAAATTAACACATATTAATCATTCAAAAAATTCAAATCGCTAATACTCGGAACAGTTAGGTATAAGGAACTTTATATTCATTAACACACACGCACGCGCGCGTGTGCACGCACAGACACACACAAACACACACGCACACGTACACACACTGGGGCGAACGCGCGTCGGTACAGCCGCAAAGGAGGCCCCGGATTGCCTGTAGTCATGAATTTAACACCAGTTACATCCGTGTTTTCTCTGTTATTAGCAAGACATCTTGGGATGTCTAGATACGGGCCTCTCTGGAGCTGGTCAAAATCCGAGTTTTTGCCTCATGCTAATAAAAGACAGGGAAAACCGACAGTCGACAGTTGGCAAAACACGGTGTTTTGTGGAGAAGGTCCCGTCGGATTTTGTTCCAAAAGTTGCTGTGGTTTCCGTGGCAAAGAGTCTGTTTTATACTTGAACGCAATTTTCAGGCGACTTTTATATTTACATACGCTCTGTCCCTGATACTGAGCAGTTTTACACATAAATATAGCATACTTTATAGAATGATTTTCTTTCTTAACTGGGAGTTGGCCGCGTCACGGCAAATCTTGATTCGGCTTTTCCGCCAGATCAAGGGGAAAACTGTACGCCTCGCCTTGGTTCTGTCACGGAAATAATCGATTTAAATTTACCGCAAGTGTAGCTGGACCTCAGGCTAAAGCACGACGCGCCACAACTAATGATTCGATAATCCCGGCTACAGTTGACTCCTCTTAAAACTATATTTTTATCCAATATATAGATAGATAGATAGATAGATAGATAGATAGATAGATACGGATTTTATGTTTAATCCGACATTTTTTTATTCTAAACATTATTTTAGTGGATAGAGTTTAAATAGACGCCCTGTGTTTTTAAACAGTGTGAATTCCGTCTCTTCCGGGTCGCGCGTTTGATATACAGGGTGTTTCCAAAGAAACTGATATAATTTAAAATGTGAATATCTGAGTAACTCCACACTCCAGGAAAATGAAATTAAATAGGCTTCATGTTGAACAATAAAAGCTTTATTTATCATATTTTGAACAAGATATTCAAGCGAGTGTATAGCCTGTGATACGACACACTTCAAGTCGGTAGTCCAGCTCCTGCTAAACACGTTGTAGCATGTCTTTCGCCATCGCCTTTGTGATTCTCTCCTTAAGTTCCTCTAGGCTTGTAGGAAGAGTAGTGATATAAAACTGTCCTTCCTGATAGCCCCATAGAAAAAATGTAGTGTCAAGTCAGCTTAACCTGGTTGCCATTTCAACAGAATATTATCGCTGGCACGACCGATCCACCTTTCTGGGAAATTCTCATTGAGATACGTCTGCACAGTCAACCTAGTAAGTTTTTATGCATTTTGTTAAAATTTGAGATCAATTGAGTGAGAATTGTAAACAAACAAACACAAAAAAAAAATATATATATATATATACTTACATTTTACTGTTGTCCGTGATTAAAAGTTTCGTGAGGTATGTTTTCAATATATTTCATATTTTATGCTTACTCTGTTTTTGTATATATTTCATATTTTATGCTTACTCTGTTTTTGTATATATTTCATATACGTTACATTGAGTACAGTATGTACAAATTTTGTGTGTAAATGAATGCATTAAGTTCGACTCGAATTCGAACTCTGCACTACGTTTTCTCATCCCGTGTTGCTATCACCAGCCCATCTTTATAATAGAGAAGCTGTTTGAAATATTTTTGTGGTTAATAATTAACGTTTTTTTATGTATCTTCTATAAATATTATATCTGTTAATAAATCAATGGATTTCTCTTATCCTTGTGAGTGGTGTGTCTGCGTAACTTGAAATCGCATAAATAAGACTTTTGAACGTTTGCTTTATCTATTAACTACATAACACACACACACACACACACACACACACACACACACACACACACACACACACACACACACACACATATATATATATATAAAGACAAAAGGAAAACTACTTTTTACCGACGCACACACACACACACACACATTCATATATATATCTTCAGGTTAAGTGTCAATTTCTATCTATACTCATGCTCATAGTCTTCACTTTTATTTCCTCATGTTCATTTTATGACTATTGAGCGTTGAATTAGGTGAACTTTATATATATATATATATATATATATATATATATATATATATATATATATATATATATACATATATATATATAGTTATTCAGTTTTGTTGTATCACAGCTCATTAGTGTGGCTAACCCGGCTGAATTTGCGTCAGTCGGAGAATCTACCCCTAAGCCATTGGCGCACGGCAGATAAAAAGGGGAATTTAAGCGCATTTATTTTTAGATAAAGACGCCAGTGATTGAGAGAACTCGATTCGTTTTGTCGAAGAGTATTTCATTATTAGCAGTAATAGTAACTGTTTCCAAACTCACACTTTCTCCTCAGAGATCTCAACCGAAATAAATTTTCAGGAGCACACACACACACACACACACACACACACACACACACACACACACACACACACACACACACACACACACATATATATATATATATATATATATATATAGATAGATAGATAGATAGATAGATAGATAGATATATGTAGAGAGAGAGAGAGAGAGAGAGAGAGAGAGAGAAAGAAAGAAAGAAAGAGAGAAAGAATCTCTTCACAGTTTTCAATTCAGAGTTGTTTTTCTTCTAGACTAGTTAGCAACCAAAACTAGAGGACGCAAGTTAAGGAGAAGTTAAGGATTCCTACCTTTCCCAAGAAAAGTAGTACAAACTGATTTCTGCTTTCTCAACCGTATTTTATATTAAGCTCGTGGCTTCCGTACACTCTGTAAACTTTGTATCTTTTTTCGTGTGTGTGTGTTTTATTTCAGTGATAGAAGCTATATCAGAGCCAAGCACACATCAAAATCATTGCTAAGCCAAATAGTTTTGTCATCAATAATTAATACAACCTTAATCGACATCTTCAAAACATTTTAAATCTTTTATTAAATTTATAATGTCAGTTTGTCAGACAGACAGAGTTGCGCCCGAAGCATCATATGGAAAAACGGCACAAAGATATTCGGCTCCGTGTCTATAATGTTTCTTTCAGTCAGTATTCCTCTTATTGTAAATGAATATCTATTTTTATAATACATATGTGTATTTCAGTCGCAATATTACACATTCATCTCAATTACTTTATTGTCTATGTCAATTCCGAACAAGCAAGAGGCCATTTTATCCAATGTTCTCTAAAATGGCGGTTATATACATATAGATGGACGGCTCCATCATGCCACCATCCGCGCGACTTTATATCAGTTACGGTTTTCTTAGTTCAATGACGCATCTGAGCCACGGCGATCTAATGGTCTGTCACCTTTGCTCCAGATACGCGATAAGATAATGTTGTGCCCATGATACATTAGACAAACCAAGTCGATCAAATCTACTACTAAGCTTTGATTTATTAGTAGCATTCATTGCAGTAAGCACTTTATGGGACATCTTATTCTTTGCTACGATCCACTGGCTTTCAATAACGATGTTTTCCGGCAAATATTAGACCTGCCATCTGGATTCATTACAACTTTGTTAGTCGAACTTGTGTTTATAATAATTTGAAGATAATTTCTAGTTATATAAAGTACAAACAAGCGAAAGACAACAAATAAAAAAAATAAAAAAATAAATGCAATTCTTTGCAAAGCTTAAGCAATACTCTAACTAGGTTTCCCGTCTGCAATTAATTTTTCCTCCAATCAATGACGCCATCTTTATTTTCAGTTACCCTGCATCTTTTCTTTCTTCTGCGTCTTCCTTTCCCTTCCGTTTTCTTTCTGCCGATAATATCTGAAGGCAATGGAACCAATTTTCAAAGTGACAGTTACGGGCGAACTGTTTGGTTTGTTAACGAACACGTTAGTTAAAACATATCACATTGGATACTCTCCTTATAATTTTGCTTCATTTGTGGTTTTCTCCCCCCCAGAAACTTTCCGGCGTCTAAATGAAGTAGCAAGTCTCTCATTATTTTCTTAAAAAGACAGAGAGAGAGAGATAGAGAGAGGGGAGGGAGAGAGAGAGAGAGAGAAAGAGAGAGAGGTAGGGAGAGAGGAGAGGGGGAAATAACAACATGGATAAAATATAACGTAAACAGACCATTCATCATTCACTACGATATACGAGTAAATGCAATTATTATTGTTTCTTTCGCATTTCTAATTACAGCATTAGTTTCTTTAATGAGAACGGCCAGTTTTAGTACCTTACGTGGTAAATAACAATTATTTTCTTGGACTCTTTAATTGAAAGGGAGCAAGTGGAAAACCTAATTATTGACATTTGTATACACAATGCACTTTCATGTTTCCCCGCTTGTCGTGATAATGCACTCTGAGACTGTCCCATTTCTTAGCCAATCAACGAAGTTCATTTCACTTTTGAGAAATTTCATAAAATATATAAAATAAAAAGAAAAAAAAGAAGTAAAATTAGCTATGACATTTCATCGAATCTCCAGGAGAGCAAATGTATCCTAATTGTAGCCTATGTAATTATTACGAAGGCCTCTTCTGTTCTTGTTAAACTTCATTCTTGATGAAGTAACAAAGTGACTGTCAGTTATTGTCGAAAGAAGGCTTTACAGTCATGTACAAATGATAACTCACTCAGTAAAGGGATTTATATGGATATCTAAATATTGCTGCCAAATGAAACCCACATAGTTACATGTTTATATTTAGATCTATCTATCTATCTATCTATCTATCTACCTATCTATCTATCTATCTATCTATCTATCTATCTATCTATCTGTGACATAGAGTTCATATCTATCTATCTATCTATCTATCTATCTATGACAGAGAGTTCATATCTATCTATCTATCTATCTATCTATCTATCTATCTATCTATCTATCTATCTGTGACAGAGAGTTCATATCTATCTATCTATCTATCTATCATTCATCTATCTATATCTATCATTCATCTATTCATCTATCTATCTATCTATCTCAGTCTGCACTTATTCATACAGCCAAATTAGACTAAAAACGCCGGTTCTCGTGCGATTACCAAAGTTAAGCAGCGTCTGACCTGGTTATTTTTTTAGATGGTGAGGTATCGCTGGATAACACCGGACATTGTAAACGACATCCTAAAATACGAAATACGTTTCGGCTATAAATAACCCACAGAGGGTTGATAAACGGTAAAAAAATCTAATTTATCTATACTTAAGATGACCATAGTAAAAAGTATAACCATAGGTGCGAGGATTCATTGAGGATCGACTTCACTACCAAAGCTATTATTTCCTTCAATTTTGCTTTCTACGAATGAGAACTGAGTTTTAGATGTTTAAGTTGGAAAACTTTCTTTCTTATTTTGATTAACATTATATTGAACTAGTTTTTCTATTTATTTATTCCTTTCCAAGGGAAATAAAACTTCCATAAAATGCGTCTCATCTTGGATGCACCACACTTTTGGATTAACTAAGCTATGGGGTTAGATTGATACAGTTATTAACCGGATTGTTTTTTAATCGCGTTCAACCCATGCAAGGCAGTAAAGCCATTGAAACACAAGGGATTAGTGGCTGTGGAAGAGTTAAAAACAAAATGTGCTAAGGATCAAGAATAAAATAAGAGTAATTAGGAAAGCAGTAGATAGCAATCGATACTGTATATAAATTTTTTCAGATTAAAGTTGGCTGGAAAGCATGGAGCCGAAAGGGAGTTCCACAAGCGAGAAGTGCGAGAAAAGAAACTATTAGCATAGAACTTAGGGCTACATCTAGATAACTCAAATGTAAACTGACGCCAGTCTAGGCATCATTGGAAAGGCTCATCCGAACAATTACATTAAAGGATTTATAGAAAAGTATATATATATATATATATATATATATTTTTATAATTAGGCAGCAATCCTTCCTTTATGCATGTTTCGTTAAAAACGACAGACAAAAGGTACTACAGTTGAGCTTTTTATTTAATTTTTCTTGTGTTCTGACAAGAGCTTTCTTTTCTGGACAAAGAGTGTGTAAGAACTGTCCGAATGTTCTATTTTTCCGAGCGCTTTCGGCTATACTTTTAGCCATTATCAAGGATGGTTCAATGATGGATATTCATTATCAAGTAGAGTGTGTGTTCTATGTATGTTCTAATAATAAAAAAGAAAAAGCCAACTCTTAACAATATCAATTATGAACAAGGCCACAATGTGCTAACTGTATTCGGAAACTAAAACATCACTACCACACACTGAACATACATAGAACACACACTCTACTTGATAATGAATATCCATCATTGAACCATCCTTGATAATGGCTAAAAGTATAGCCGAAAGCGCTCGGAAAAAAAAGAACATTCGGACAGTTCTTACACTCTTTGTCCAGAAAAGAAAGCTCTTGTCAGAACACAAGAAAATTAAATAAAAAGCTCAACTGTAGTACCTTGTCTGTCGTTTTTAACGAAACATGCATGTATATATATATATATATATATATATATATATATATATGTATGTATATGTTGATTTGAAAATTCTGCTGGATAATATATCATCGATGTGATTGATGCGGAAACGTTAGGTTGTGACCTTTACCCGTGAAAAGAGGATGTTGAAAAGTAAATATTCGCTAATTAGGCGGTATACATTTGTTTAGCTCTTATAACAACTTTCGACAGGCAATGAAAAGTAGGCACGTTACAACAACGTGTGCCGCAAGGGATCGGTAAGCAAAAAAAATTAAAAACAAAACAAAACAAAACAAAAAGACCATTAACCGTACCAAAAGGGCAATTTTCATTCACAAAATGAAGTACAGTTTATATGCTTGGCGAGGAAGTACCTCTGTATTGAGCTGTATTCGAAAGGCCAAACGAAATGTTGTTGTCAACAATCGATGAAAAACGGCCGTCTGAAAACAGAATGTAGGGAATATTCCTTCAGGATGAATCTAGACAGAATCTTTCTTTATTGACTAGCTAGAAATTATTATTGCTTTGTTTGGTAATTCTTACAGATCCGTTGTTTTCATGAGATACTTCACCTTCAGAAAGACAATTTGTTGCAAACATATCAGTATTGAAAAAAGTGTTCAATTGCTTGGGTGTTTCTTTTCTGAGAATGATTAGTAGTTCTGGGAGGAACAATTATGTAGTTCCTTGAAAGTTGAAATGCGTAAATAAAAGCTGGGAGCATATTCAATGAATATCAAATAAATATATAAGAAATACGATTGATTTTATCGATAAGTAATATTCAGTTCAAAACAAAAAATGGCGATTGATTTTATGACTATTCTAAAGTTTGTTTAAATCAGCTTTAGAATAAAAAACATCGAAACATTAACAAAATTGTTCGCATATCTTTTGAAAATATTTTCCAAAAATATTTTATAACTTATCGTATTGACCTTAATCACAGTAACTTGCCAGTCATATTTAATGAAATTTGTTTAAAAGAGGGATTTCGGTCCAAATGCGCAATTATATATATATATATAATTCAAACAGAGAAAAATGGCGTGGTTTGGACACATTACAAGGCACGACAGCCTCTACAAGACCATCATGCAAGGCAACCGCTGAAGGTGGACGTAGGAGAGGACGCAAACGCCCAAACTGGTTAGACAATGTCAAACAATGGACAAGTATGACTGTACCAGAATTGCTGATGGCTGTCGTTGATAGACCGTTGTGGAAAAGAGTTAGTGTGGCTTCTGCGTTCGGATCTGCCCTAAGATTACAAAAGTCAAGTGGATTATGATGATAGTAGCCATGTAAAAAAGGCTAAGCATAATGGAAGCATTCATTATAAAAAAAAAAGAAAAACAGTACTTAATAATATTAATTATGTTGACAGAGTTTGGAAAAAAATCCCATCAATATAGATGCACATACATAAAAATCTACATATTCTATAAAAAATGACCTCCTTGATAATAGCCGAAAGCGCTCTGATATATAGAACATTTGGGCAATTTTTACATAATTTATGTCCAGAAAAGAAACGCTTATACGAACACAATAAAATTGAATAAAATGCTGAATAGCAGTACCTTGTTAGTCATCTTTAATTAAACTTGTATATACATATATATATATATATATATATATATATATATATATATATATATATATATTACATTCAAAGAAATAATCACTATTGGCGACATCCATCGCTAGTAGTAAAATGTATGCATTAAAATACTGTTAATCCAGTGAAGTGATCCTCGCATATAAAATTGATGTCTGTTGTTTCCAGTTTATGTGTTCTTAAAATGCTAGTACTTACGAATAGTCTTCTATTCATCATCAGGCATGTGTTGTTTTTTTTTCCTTATAAAATCAAAAACGAAATAATTGTTTGTCGACCGAAAGATGTTTTTTGAATATCTGCTATTATTGACGGTTGTATATATATATATATATATATATATATATATATATATATATATATATATATATATATATATATATATATATATATATATACTTACTTACTCATTCTCATCTTTTTTCTTATATACCTTTTTTTTCCTTTTTGGTATTGATTTGATTATTTGCAAATCAAGACACCGAAGATTTTCCGAACGAGTGTAGTTTCTTATGCCTATAAGATTGCTACTAATACTAATATATATATATATATATATATATATATATAAACATGAGATATATAAATTTGTATATGTCAAGAAAAATATTGGTGATAAAATGTAGGACAAACTGTAAAAAAGTTTTCGTCTGACACGTTACGTCCTTTAGGACTTAATTTGGTTAATAAATCTAATAAATTTCTATTCTTATCATAACAACAAAATAACATCCGGTATAATTGTTGGATTCTTCTTAAGAGCACTCAGAATTTGCAGCCCTCACTATTTACATGAAGTGAAGAAATAGATTGAAAACACTTTCAAGCTTGTTAAGTATCCTAATTATTTTATATTCAATGCAAAACAAAAGGCTCATAAAATATTCCAAAATAGAAAAACAGCCCCTCCTGACCAACCCAATGAATAAAAAATATACATATCGTCTTACCAGCTAACTCTATCACAACTACAACTTAAAAGAACCTATCTAAAATCAACATGAAAAAAATTGCTACTACTACATCTAAAATTATAAAAGACAATAATCTA